GCCTCCCCACTCGCCACCCCCGCGGCCTGGCTCCCGTCGCCACCGCCCCAAGCGCCTAGCGCCGCCGCCCGCCGGCCTCACCCCGCGCCCCAGAGCTCTCGCCGCCGTCGCGCGCCTCGCCCCGCCGTGCACCGCCGCCCTCCGCGCCGGCGTCCGGCCTCTGCCGCCGGCGCCCCGAGCACCCGCGCCCGAGCCCCGCGGTTCCGCCACCCGCCGCCGGACGGCGCACCCCATCCCGGATCTCCTCGTCGCGGGTCGACTCCGTCCATTTTTCTGCGAGGGTATATTTTCCACTAAGTCCCTAAAATATTTGCACTCTGGTGCTAAGTTCATCATGCCATAACTTTTTATGCGTTGCTCCATTTTGTGCGTGTAATATATCAAAATGTTCATCTTGATGTGCTCTTCATTTTGTTCCATTCTGCCATGCTTGTTTGAATCCATCTTAATGCCTGAATTATCGTTGCAAGAGTGCTATATGATGTTAACTGTTGTTTGTTAACAGAACTTGGTGATTTGTCTGTTTCATTCCATTTTGTGTGTACATCCTATGAGTTTGATGTCCACATGAGTTTTGAGCTACATCATGCCATCTTTACAGTAGTGCAATCCATGTATTTTTGTGAGTCTTGTAGTGAATGCATCAAGCTCGTGAAGTAGGGTACTTGTTGTTTCTGTTTTGCTAGGCTAAATCTGTTACATCATGATGCTATGTAAACCTGCTTCTACAAGTCATTCTATGCATAATCTGGAGATGTTCACTAAGGATGTTTTGTTATACATGTCATGCTCTATCAATCCATGCCCCTGGTTGCATTTATAGTCTGCTCTACCTTGTTGTAATCTTGCTCTCAAATTGCTAAACAATGTTGTTGTCAGCCTGTTATCATTAAGTTCAGTTTTGCCATGTGTTTTGCTGGTGATCCATGCACCCTATGAACTTGCTCTTGCCATGCTTAGCTTCATAAATGCTAGATCGATAATGCGCCTTGGCGCGAGGATGCCAGTCCAACCGATATGACCAAGCAGTGAAGATCAAGCCGCTTGATGCATTAATAGGATATCAAGTTTAGCACATGTAACAAGACAACTTAATCAAAGAGGTGCTACTTGCCGAAACCCAACTCCCACATGCGTATCTATTAAAGATGGAAATGCAGAGAGTATATCAAGCAATTAATCAAAAAAACTCAATGATCAAACCCCTGATATAGCTCTTTTTCAATTAACATCTGATATTACTCAATATACCCCAAGATGGAAATATATCTGATATTACTCAAAGAGTAGGTAATGATAGATACTACAATAATCACCCTGTAAAATATCTAAAAATGGCCCTATCTACATGCCATTAGTGCATTTGTTATACAATGTGACATGAAATACCTAAGCAAGGTTTGGTATGATAGAAATCAAAAGCAGGTCATAGTATGTACACTGTTTTTGATACTGCACAATAGTAAACTACATGGTTGACTATTGGATATATAACTTTGTCCACACACCTTCATCCGCTCGATTTTGGATCGCATTTGGCGGCATGGCCAATGATATATAACTTTGTCCACACTCCTTCATTTGATTTGGTTGCATGTTGTGACACACGGCCGGATCTGCTAAGCACATAGCATGTTAGGCAATCTATTCAAATAGTGCGTCTCATGGACAGGGAGAAAATAATCTGGTCTATATGAAGGAGAATCACTCTGGATAATATACAGTGATCTGGATACAGTGTAGCCTCTTTAACATAAAAGAATATAAAAGATAAAATTAAAATTATTTTATCTTAGTATTCTACATGGCCTACAAAGGGTAACAGATAAGAATCACAAACCTATGGTGACACAAGAAGCCTCTGAAGCAAAGAAGGCGGCTCAGCGGTGACTTGAAAAGCGAGAGAGGTCACACGCTGGCCTACATCTCCTCAAACTCTGCATGGTGCCCATCAATAAGGTAAGAGTCCATGAAACCACACATAATTATTTTCGCCTACGCAGTGACAACATAAATGACCATGGGATCTTATTCTCTAGAAAAGGATCAACAATTAGAATGCTAGATCTTGGCAACAACAACATAATACATACTTCCATATCAGAGACATAAATTTCTTAATTCTGAAACAATGCGCTTCTAAAATCTTCTATCTATCAACAACATAGTATTAGTGGTTGTGATTTCAGCAACATAAACAATTAGAGACATGCAACAATGGTACAGCCACATGATACAGTAAAAGCCTAGAAAAGAAATCAATCTGCGTCATAGAGCGAAGGTAGAGAAACCTCATCGACTGAGGTAGGCATACATATGCTCAACTCAACTTGGACAGAGACATAACCAATAGAAACTCAACATAAGTTAGTTTTCGTGAGAAACACAACCAATAGAAGCTAAATAAAGCAACAGAAGGAACCATTATATAACTTTATCGGTACACAACATATATGGTTCAATTCTCTTTCAACTAAAATATATATGCAAAGGTGAGTCTTGTTACCTTGCATTAATTTACCAGAAATGAATTTTGCTTCCCACGGAAACACAAACATGAACATAATTAGTGCAAGTCCAGTGCATGATTCATTTTTTTGAACAAAATGTATATGCAAAGGTGAGTCTGGTTATCTTGCAGTACTTTAACAGAAATATTTTTGGCTTCCAACTGATATGCAAACATGAACATGTACTACTTAAAAAAATAGATAATCTGGAATCAAATATCAGTTACCAAAAAAAAACATCCAATTGGAACACAAACATGAACATATTTAGTGCAAGTTCAGAAAACAATTCAAGTTCTTTCGACAAAAAACAGATGGCAAGGTTAGTCTGGTTATCATTCAGTAAGTTAACAAAAATATAAGCTCAGTTGGCAACTCTCTCTGAACAAATCATGCAGTAGCAATAGTGAAAACAAAGCAATCAACTACATGAAGGTCATATAGAAAACATAGTTTAAATCATCACACTGTCTGGATCAAAATATTACTACTCATTTACTGCTATCTCTAAGCATCTACAAACCCTATATCAGTGTTTACATATGTGAGTACTTCCTTTGATTATAAAAATTGCGGAGTCACACTGATCATATTTTTGCAGCAGTCTAGTAAAACCAAAGAGGGGACGTGACGTATATCAGCTGACCTATGCAAGTGCTCGGAGACAGCTGTTAGTGGAACTAGCTGAACCTAGCGAGCCATAAACCGAGATCTCTTCGTCAGCCATCGCGACCTAAACAGATCCAAGAAATTTCACAGGGTAGCTCAACACTTGAGGCATAAGTTTGGCAAAAACGAATGGACTAAAAACACAGAGTCTGATAGATCAAAAATAGAGCAAGTCATTTATATAGAAAGCAACACACCCACATGTCATTCATAATAATTAGATCAAGTCATTTTTTCATAAAGAGACTGAAGGTTGAGTAGTGCATTAGAGGGTAGCCGCACAGTGCAGGAAACATACATTAGAGGGTAGCCGCGCAGTGCAGAAAACATATCCCACTGCTATGGACAGAAGTGTAGAAAGGCATAACCCACTCATTGTGTTCTGTGAGTACATCCTTCGATGATAAAAGTCTCTACGAATTCCAAGGTGGTTCAACATGATATAAAGTGATCCTGGCCAAGATTATCACAATAGCGTGGTCAACCTGAGTCGTCAAAATGATTTAGAGACAACATAAGTAAGTGGTTGAAATATATATATAAGCAACAAAAGAAAGTACATGCGAACGAGAACAGACAAATTCCAATTGGATTTCTTGCACAAACAGAAATGCAGGATACAAAGCAGAAGTTGATAACTTTCGACAAACCTTGATATATAGGTGGATGAACCGAATAACAACTTAAAGCTTTGACATCATATTCTGCTTGGTTTCTTTGTAATTCTTTTTAACATGAGAATGCAAGAAACTCATTTTCTTGTGAAACCTCGGACGTTGATGGGATACCCCATGGAGTAAGATCAATAGACATGGCATGTCACTTTTCTTGTTTCTAGAAACCTATTGCATTTCCACTCTCTTTTGAATGAAATGAAACGCAAAGGTCCTTTGCGTTTTATTAGGAAAAAAACTTAATAGAAGTTGCAGAATATATAATGCATAGAGCCACACACAGCAAAAGTTATCTCTTAGTTACAACTTTTTCTAAGCACTATTATCTCTGAATGCCTAGATGTTGGCTGCAGTACAGATAAAGCCCAGCAAGTATGGAACGCACAAGGTACTGATCTGCTGATAACTACAAGAAAGTTAATTAAGTGGCTTGCCTACAGACGACTTGCAACATTTTTCCTAATGAGTTTCTCAGCATTCGTGAGCTCAAGTATCCTTTTCGGCACACCTTCTGCATAAACATGAAAGAATAGTGAGCAACAAAATTACTCCAGAAAAAAGTAGCTACAGAGAAGGAAGGTACTGGTAAGTTCTTATTGTCAATTCCAAGATGGTTGACAGCAGAGATAAATTTTCCATGTAGTTCAACGGACCAAACAACATGCTGCCAGATATTCCTAAGCTCCTCGATGCGAACGGGTTTTAGGGGATAGTTGCAGGCACCATGAGTTATCTCCTTCATTACAATTTTTGTCTCTCCAATCACAGATAACACTACATGGAAAATAATCAGTTAGCACTGACTATTTCCTTTGAATCATCCATTGATCTGAATCTGTGAATTTATGAGTGGGTATTGTGCAAGGAATATACTAAGGTGTGTAGTTTCCCGCATGCAAAAGAAATAAAAAGACTCATCCGCCTTCAGCTAGAGAGCGAAGCGACGATGTTTGACTTCAATGTCAGGTTAAAGGTTCATCGGTTGAGCGAACTGACGTCCATTACCAAGGGATGGGGGGCATTTGCAAATAAATATAAGATGAAAGAAGGAGATATCTGCCTTGCCAACATGACATCAACAGTAGGAGGCTTATGTTCAAGATTTATCTGATTAGATCATGCCTTGTCCAATAGTAGATGGCTTGTGTTCAAGGTTTACCTAATTAGATCAGAGTGAGTTGTAAATAGCTAGATAAACTAATGTAGAGTGTAAACTACACAACCTGCAACGACACCATGTTATATTAGGTGTGTAGTTAGAATGGAATGCCAGACCCAGTAGAAGGAGCAGGCCAGTGCACAGCAGACATGACTATAGCAAGGACTTGCTTACTTAAACAGTCAAACCTGCCAAGATTACAATGCGCAACCATATTACAGATTTACACTGGTGAAAGTATCACCTAATTTAGAGTCACGTGCATGATTGAACAAACAATGAAAAATCATGATACATATACTTAAGAGTATATAAAGGTTGCTCACTGTTTCCTAGTGATTGCTGAACCCAAGGCAGTTCAAGAAGAATGAGATGATAGCCAACTCATAGCAGAATACAACAACGAAATTGGCCGGTGGTTCTAATGAAACCAAAATAGAATATGAATATACAGTTGTACAAACAACAAAGGGGAGAACTTCCTCCCACGGCAGTCAAAGTGCCAATTGCCTAGAAACAGTGAAACATCATCCGAGGCCTATGTGTTACTATAACAAAACCTAGATTCACAAGTCAATACAATTAAGTGCTGTCAATAACGAAGAGGGCAGCATCTTTTTCCAAGATCTACTTGGAAGCTGCAAAAGTGGGCATACCTGGTGTATTTTGTTACAGTGACAAAGTGCTTCGGGAGGAAAAAAAACAAGGAGCTCAGGGCTTGGACTTAGTACTGATCTGTGCGCTATAATTGACAGCTTGTAGCAATACAATGCAGAATGCGGTAGTTCTGATGCAGACTCAAAGCTGGGCCTATGGATTTACTTTAGTTGTCACTAAATTCACCATGTTCATGAAGCGATGTTCATCTCTCGGTATCTGATAAATTATAAGCGATGTCAATACATATACTTGGGTGTTAATACGGCACATAGACCTTATTTAATTCCTGTGATCTGAACTTACCTGCGAAGTTTATTCTTGCGCCGGCCAAGCTCATGACCTACAACCTCCGCCAAAAAAGGTAAGAGATAAAATATGAGTTGTACTTATAGAATAAGATCTAGAGAATAATTACCATTTAAACATCAGTCAAGACTAAAAGAATACACAATATGCAATGAGATTGAGTGGTTTCTTTCACCTGGTATTTCGGGGGAGTTAAACAAAACAGGAACTTCAGTCACACAATGGTGTCTGCAGGAAAAAATAAGAAATTAACATAAAGCAATGGGTATTCACCTTTCTTGTACTGCACTGTAGTTCTTGTTTGCCAAGAAGAGAGTAAACATGATGCAAGTTTCACAAGCAAAACATGCAATCTGACTTGAAATATTCAGGCCATTGGCAGGCACTCTACATGGATACGAAACCTCGAATCTATAAAGAATTGGAATGAAGACAAGATATGCACACACCAAGATACAAGGTATAAAGTTACACAAATTCGTGTTGTACATTGATGCCTATACAAAAATCAATGGAACAGGTGGTGAAACGCAAAAACCTCCAATATCCACGAGGCCATATACTCACTTACTATTTTTTTTTTAAATCCGACTTCCTACACAGAAACATTTTTATACTGTTGTATGACTTATACTGGAACTCCCTGGACGGCAGCTAAAGCAAAAGTCCGACTCATAGCGGGAACACGGTATAGAGAATGTCAATGGCAACATCCGTTTAGAAGCATCACTGTTCTATGTTATGCAGTTCTGTATAACTAAATAACACACATGATGACAATCCTATGGCCTGAGACTTGTCTTAGATATCAAGCCAATGTACAGAAACATACCTATAAAGCAGATAAGCAAATCATCGGAGAACACGTCAACCCCACAACGTCTGCTGCACCAAATCTGAGAGAAAAGGAGGGAGAGGAGAGGGTGAGAGCCAGAGAAGATCGGAGAGGAGGAGGAGGGGAGATGAACTCACCGAAAACAGAGGAGGCCCAGCCCGATGCGCCCCTCCAAGGCTGCACCTCGTGGCCAGCGGGAAGCGGAACCGCACGTGGGGGGCGAGGGAGGAGACAAAGAGGAGCCGTCGGAGTCCACCGGAGCCGCGCCGGCGGCGAAGGCGCTTCCCAGCCCAAAACCCTAGCCACAGCTGAGGGTCGCGGGCGAGCACGAGAGGCCGTGCGTCGCGGTTCTAACCGGATAGGAAGAAGAGTCGAAGCAAGGGGAGGTCCTTGGTGTGGGGAGGAGGCGCCGGGCAGCGTGAGGTCAGGAATGGGGGTCGAGGCAAGCGGCACAGACGATGGCAACACGATGGTAGGGGACGTACGGGAGATCGAGGGAGGTTGATATGGGGATTGGTCGCTCTCCCTCGCCTCATCGATCCACAAGCCAATCATCCGCCAACACGTTCCGCGGGCCTATGCGAAATCCCAGCTTTGCCCTCGGTGAGATCTAATAATTACAGGCGGTGGCATGAAGTTTTTACACTGTTTCAATCTACAGTGTCTCGCCTCGATCCAACGGCCTGTATTTCCTCATCTCATGATCGAACGGCTGAGAACGCATCAAGCACCAGATTCGACGGCCAGGAACGCCTAAACTCTGAGGAGGCTGGGGTTCTCCCGGTATGTATCTTACGCGATGTCATATTACTGTTGGTCACCTTGTCATGCCATGTATTGCTCTGTAGTGAGTGGTACAAGCTCACAAACATGCCTACTTATTGTTGTTTCTGCCATGTCTGAATCTGTCACATCATTTGCCATGTTTGCATGGATGCTACCATCTTTTCTGTTGATCTTTGGAATAAGTTCATTAAGGGAGTTTTGTTCTTTATCTTTAGTACTAGCATGTCATGCCTTTGTTTTCCATGTTAAGTTTCTGTAGCATGTTGTTCGATAGCTTTAAACATTGCAACCTGATGTTATTTCTGCTAAGTCTGTAAACTGTTATTATTTGCAACCTTGCCATGTCCTTTTGAGCATCTTATAGTGTTTTCTGGAGATAGCTCAGTGTTCATGTTTTGTCATGCTTTACCTGTAATTCATGCCCATTCCTTTTGTTTTCATGTTGAGATGTTGTAGCATATTGTTTTGATGCTTGCTAGATGCCTAGTTGTTGTTTTGGACAGCTTGTCCTTTAAATTTGTATAGTGTATGTGTTGAATCGTTGCTCCGTTTTGAGTGTGCTCTATATGAAACTTGCTTAGATTTGCATGTAGTTTCATCTTGTCATGTTGAATCCTTGTTTTGAGAATGTTTGCTTGATGTTTAAATGCATTTTGCATCAATGCCATGTTTTACTTGTTTTGCTCATATCTTCTAGGCCGTAGCTCCGAACTAATTAAACTTCATATGTAACTTGACTAGAATTTCGTGTAGATCTTCCTAGTGCATCTTAACTTGCTGTTTAACAACTTGAACATAAGGTTTATTCAGTTCTGGACCAATTTCTAAATTTGCATATGAGGACTTACCGGAATTGTTATATGTTGTTTCCGGCCTCATTTAACCTTACTTTGATGTGTTGTTCTCGTATGCATCATCTTTTGCCATGAGTAGCTTCATGTAGTCTTGTCTTGCATCATACTTAGTTGAGCATCATGTCTTGTATATGTGTGGTGTGTTTACCATGTTGTGTGCTTCTTCTCGATAGTTCCTGTTTCATTGCGATCATGAGGATTCGTTCGTCTACGCTTAGTTCCTCTTCGTGGCTTCATCTTCTTCATGGACTCGTTCTTCTTCCTAGCGAGATTTCAGGCAAGATGACCGTTATCCTGGATCTCATTACTATCATTGCTATGCTAGTTGCTTCGTTCTATCGCTATGCTGCGCTACCTATCACTTGTTCGTCAAGCCTCCCAAATTGCCATGTCAGCCTCTAACCTTTTCACCCTTCCTAGCAAACTATTGCTTGGCTATGTTACTACTTTGCTCAGCCCCTCTTATAGCGTTGTTAGTTGCAGGTGAAGTTGAAGATTGCTCCATGATGGCCAAGATTATGTTGGGATATCACAATATCTCTTATTTAATTAATGCATCTATATACTTGGTAAAGGGTGGAAGGCTCGGCCTTATGTCTGGTGTTTTGTTCCACTCTTGCCGCCCTAGTTTCTGTCATACCGGTGTTATGTTCCTTGATTTTGCGTTCCTTACGCGGTTGGGTGATTTATGGGACCCTTTGACATTTCGCTTTGAATAAAACTCCTCCAGCAAGGCCCAACCTTGGTTTTACCATTTTCCTCACCACCACCTATACTT